TGGATGTTCCATAGTATATTTAGCCAGCCTTCTGTATTTTATTTATTTTTTTGTTTCTTTAACCAAATAGTGAACATTTAGGTAGTTTTCAGTTCATTATTATTAGGAACAGTTCTGTAGTGGACAAGCTTGAAGTACATATCCATTCACTTTTTTCTTTCAAGGAGCCGACTAGTATCTAGTATCTGATGTACTGTTGGGATTTCTAGGAATTTACTTTGCATACCTGAGAAGTGGCCCTATTTGGGGTTAGGGATACTTGCTACTTGTTGTCCAGTAATTGACTCTTGTTTCTTCTTAGCTGACACGTGAATTCTCCTACATGTTTAATTTCTTGATAGGTGGGATCGAGGTACAAATCATCTGCTGTTCAACATGTTGCCTGGAGGTCCCCCAGATTATAACACGGCCCTGGATGTCCCCAGAGACAGGTAGGCACCTTTGGGGCTGTCCCTGAGGCTTAAGTAAATGCAAGATCCTTTTGTTCATGTGAAATTATATTCCTAAGCCTACTGGGACATACTTTGTAATAGGAATTGTTTATTAAACTAGAAAATTGTCCTAGGTATTTCCCTCCTTAAGACATAGAATTGTTCAGATCTGCTTAAATCTGTTTTGGAAAACCAGTTAAAAGCTTATGTCCTAGCATAGCCTCTAAAAAAACTATTTTCTTAGTCTGGGCTCTGTGCTTCTGAGGGTAACATTCCCAGTCCCCAAGGCATGGTTCATGACTGGCTTGTGTCAGCTCTCTCTGAATTTAGAAGCATTTGCTGAAAGTGGACCCACAGCTTACTGAGGGACGAGGAATGGATATGTCAAAATGATACCTAAAGCCTATAATGTATGTGGAAATGAGGGCACTCTGATGATCATGTACTCTCTGTTGTTTCAGTCAGTAGGGCGCCCTTCCCTCTCTCCCTCCCTCTCTCCCTCCCTGCCTTCCTTGTAACTTTCCCCCCACCCCCCACCACCCGCCTTCCTGCTCCCTTCTTTCCTTTTAGTAAAACCTACCAAATTGGCAGACGTGGTTTGGGATGGCCATGATTGCATGATTGTGACTTTGAGTTCACTTACTATATTTATCTGCCCTTTCATACACTGACTGAACCACTTTGGCCAGAGGCTTCTTGGAAAGCTTTGGAATGAGCTATGCTATTTAAGGGACCTTGGTTCAAGGCTTTGAGGAAAGCAGAAAGTCTGGGGGCTCAAGGGTCCTGGGCAATACTCAACGTATAGGATTGTTAAAAGAGTATGAACTCATTTATTGCTAGTCTTATTATAGCTGATGTTAAACTGAAATCACTGTTATTGAAAAAGGTAACAGCCTGAGGTATCAGCCTGAGAACAGCTGTGTTCTCAACTCGTTAGAGGCTAACGTTGCCATTTATGAAAATCTACACTTAGTAGTTTTTTCCACAGAAGATTAAACCTAAACCCTCTTTGCTTTAAGTGATTATCTAGAGTCAGTTTTGAGTTTCTATCTGGAAATGCAATTATCACTAGAAGAGACAAACGCCCCAGGACCACCTCTCAATGTTGGTGTAGAAACCATTGTGGACAATAGAGGGCAGTCTGGCTGCACGAATGCTATAGGAAACAGATGAACACAGGGCAATCCTGGATTTGGAGGCTCTCGGGCCCAGGGAAGGTGTGTTTGTTTTTGAGTAGGCTACTTTTTATGGATATGGTTGTTCTGGGGAAGTTAAATACTTCAGAGAACAGAGAAGGGAAGGAAAAGAGCTGTTAGGAATGCAATGTCTTCGCCTCCTGTTCTGGGTTTCTTTTCAGAAGGACTTCTTTCTGATTGGGGCATTTCACTTTTTGCTGACATTCTGGCATATGCATTTGCATGGGAGATGATTTTGTCTTCATCAAGTGCACATGTTAAATGAGGTTTCATTTCTCTGTAGGAAGGTGTCAAGTAGACAGGAGAAAGTTTGATTCTAGCTAGTGTTTAGGTGTTAAGGATCAGGAAGATTAAATTGTTTTTCCTGTTCACGTATTTTTGTAAGTGATTAGAGGCAATCTTGTAGCAAGTAATGAATCACCATATAGTCCTCCTTTATCTTTGCATGTGGGAAATTTCATTTTGAAACCTAGGTGGCCTTCTGGTTGGGGTAAGGAATAGTAGATTTGTTTGTTAATTTTCCTTATCCTTTGTCCCTGCTCCTAGGTTCAGAGGAGGCAAGAACTGTGAATGTACATGATTTTAGCAGGAACTGCAAGTGAGATTATTTAGAAATCAGAAAACAGATGGGCTAGATTAGACTGCTTTAAGATCTCCTAAGTCTAAAGTCATAGGTGTGATTACTTAAAAATTATTTCACTCAAGGAAATGCAAGGACCCAGACTGAAGGGAAATGTCTGCTCAGTGAATCTGTTTTTCATGCTGCTTAAACCTGTTTTTATTTCTCTTTCAATTTTTAAAAATCATACCTGCGATATGCATATATATTCTTTGTACAAGAGTTGAATAGTAGGCAAATGTATAAAGAGTAAAATGTAAAAATATGCTTTCATCTCCTCTGTCTTTACTCCCTTACCAAGAGATACTTACTGTTAAAATACTATGTATTTTTCTGGTCTTTTTTCTGTGGAGTTAGACACAAACACCACATATACACACACATCTTAATTTTGACTTAAATGGGAACATGTATACCTCTTTAATGCCTTACTTAACTGATGTCAGTTTCCTCAGATATGTTCTGTAATATTGTCACTACCTTGGATTTTTATCCTTTATTTGCACATCTCTCACAAATTTCTACTTTTGTGGGTACAATGAGCACTGTCCTGGTGGCGGACACACTGAAAGCCCTGACTTTGGCATCATAGAGCGTATCTATGTAACAAAAACTTTTGTACCCTGTTAATATTTTGAAATAAAAAAAAATTTCTACTTTTGTGTAGGTGTATATTCATTTATTTAAACTTGCTACAGAAAATTTCAAACCTGTACAAAGAAGGGAAACTAGTACAGTGAACCCCACGTACCCATAGTCCAGCTTCAATAATCATCACTTGAAGCCAGTCTTGTTTCATCTGTACTCTGATCCACTCCCCACCCCCACTAAATTATCTAAAAACAAATCCCAGACGTCATATCATTACCTCTGTAAATATTGCCATGTGACCCTCTGCACGATACGGCTTTTTAAAAAACATAACTAACTACAATACTATTGTCATACCCAAGAAAATTAACAGTGATTCTGTAATGTCACCAACTATTCACCAGATATCTAGCCATTGCTCAGATTTACCTGTCTCATAAATATCGTTTTACAGTTTGTTTGCCTCAGTGAACAAATGAGGATGGCCAATAGAATTGGCCAGCTCTTTTTTTGTTTTGTTTTTGTAAAAACTGAAGCTTTGTATTTGAGGAATTTGCAGGCCTGATAACATGCACGGTAAAGGAAAGCAAAGGATAAACTTGCAGCATTGCTGTGTGTGGGCACTGTGAATGCTCAGATAGCAGAAGGGGGAGAACCGTGAGAGAGTATGAGAAGAGTGGAGTAGGATGGTGGAGAGGCCGCAGGGAGGAAGCTGAGTGACCGAGGTGTCCTGGAGTCAGGAAGTCCTGCGAAGTGCTAAACATGCTGGTGATCACTTCGAGTGATATAGTACCTGGCCTGGCGTGATCTGATCATCATATTAATACTTTTTTAGCTGCAAGTTTTCTATTCAGTCTCTTGCAACTTTGGAACTGATGTCTGATTTTGGGATACATAATGGGAAAACAGAATGTGCTGCTCAGAAATTCACTTTTCAGTCAATGTAAAACACGTGTTCTGTAAAGCAAGCGATGCTTACAATATTTTCTCCATTCTAATGTAATGGAAACCTCAGCCGAAGAAGATACAGTGACCTGGAGTCTTGTCAGTAGCAGGGCGGGGGTGAGGCTAGTTTGCAGTTTGACTAATTGCAGTGACGGTTCTTTCTGAGATCCCCAGTGGAGAGTGCACGTGTATGATTTTCTGTACGTTCAGGTTGCTGCTTTCCTGCTGCCACTGCAGAACCTCCACCTTACACCCCACCCCCCATCCAGAACAGAATAACAAGTTTGGGGCCCCAGGGACAGAATAACAGTAAAAGTTGATGTGATATACACCTGCTTCCTTTCTCTTTGCATACACACACCTTTCTCCTCTGGGCCTGTGGGTGTAATATCCTAATCACCCACGACCCTGGCTTACCTGGACTGCCTGGTGCCTGTATATGGGATCCATGTCTGCTGCTCTGCACATGGGCCATGGGGCCCATACAGAGTCTGCTTGCCATCATGGTCATGGAACCCACCCAAATTCATGTTGGACGGATTCAGTGCTGAATGCTAATCAGGAAAAATAAGACCGTATGTTGGTGCTAAGGATAATCATTACATTTTACAGAGTACACTGGCAGCTGGAGAGGTTTTTAGCCTGCACATTACCTCACTCACCAGTTCTTGGTTTCATAAAGCTTAAACAAACAGAGTGGGATTTCCAGGGGTGGTTTGAAAATCTTTGAACTTAAACTGGTCATGTTAGAAGGGAATGTAGGTTGTCATCAGGGCAGGGAGGGGATTGGTAGCAATCAATATTGCAAAAACGTGGTTTCCCAGCTCAGACATTTTGGCTCAGACTGTACAGTGTGTGCAACTGGCAAAACTCTACCCCAGAAAGTGATTTCGATGGGTTTGGGGCCCCAGGGACAGAATAACAGTAAAAGTTGGTATGATATACACCTGCTTCTTTTCTCCGATGAAGTGTTGTTGTACTACTTGCTGGATCCAATTAAACCAGTGTGGTCACTGTTTTCTAATTAAGGAGAATGAAAGCTAGCACAAACAAACTGCGAGAGAAGCACAAAAGGTCCAATTCTGGATTCTGCGTCCTGAATAGGGAATTAAGTTAATAAGACTGTGTAGCTGGATTGGACAGTGAGAGCTGGTAGAGGCTGTGATTGACAGGTAGCTCTGGGACGACAGTGGGAAGAACTGCTTGGGGCAGAGAGTGGAGAGAGGCTGTGGTATGAGATGTGAGATGTGATACTTCCCAGCCCATTGTCTCCCGAGATTTCAGGCACTGGGTTGCTGAATGACTGCCCCAGGCTAGTCTTCCTATGCAAACCTGTTATTATTCCTGTTACTGTAAATGTGTTTAAGGATGGGGTATGACTTGGGAGAGGCGAATGGAATCTGAATGAGGGAGCAGAGGGGCTGTCTATAGCGTTGTCTTCTGGGCTATGATGTGTTTTAAAAAATGGGACGTAAGGAAAGACTATTTAGGACCTGGGGGAAGGCTGGTAATTCGGGGATAAAATATAGCTGCTCACATAGGAGATGTGAGTGTAAAACATTTAGCACCGTGTCTTTATAGAAAAGTGACTCAGTAACATAAGCTGTTGTTGATATTATGATTAAGACTCAATAATTCACTTTGCACAGAGCCTATCAGAATGAGGACTTTCTTTCTTTCTCATTGTTTGACAAAATCCTTTGCTTCCAGGGCCCTGTTGGCTGGTGGCGGCTTTTCTACATGGACTTACCGGCAAGGCTACGATGTCAGCATTCCTGTCTATAGTCCACTGTCAGCTGAGGTGGATCTTCCAGAGAAGGGACCAGGGTAAGGTGCATTCAGCACAGCCAGCTGTGCCTTTACAGAATCCGTTAGGTGCTGTGAGGTTTAGTGTGTGTGTGGGGGGGGTATCGCAGCAATTGAACTTCACTTACAGGCCAGGGTCCTTGAGGCTCCCATCTTTCCCACCCCCAATCCAGTCGTGTTTATCCTGCAGCGTTCTCTATCTCAGTAAGTTCACAGTGCTGTCTGCCAAGTTTTCCAAACCAGAAATCTATGTGGCATTCTTAACTCCTTCCTCTTCTTTACTTCCTATATCAAAATAATAAGTCCTGTTGATTCTGTATTCTAAATATTTCTCACATCTGTCTGCTCCCTGTCTCCTCTAACTCTGCCCTAGACTGGGTGACTGTCATCTCTCTGTTGGATTGTAGAAATGGCATACTATCTGCTTTCTCTGCCTCTAGCTTTGCTACTCTCTGGTCTGCTTCTTGATTTCACATTGCCCTTAGGATAAAGCCCAAACTCCCTAAAATGTCTTTTTTTCTTTTTTTGAGACAGAGTCTCACTCTGTTGCCCAGGCTAGAGTGCTGTG